AGAGACCAAAAGTAAAAAAAAACTTACTGGTCTTTAAATAAAAAAAGGAAAAAAAAATGACCACTAATGATATCCTGCTATACTCAGATATCTGTGTCTTATTCAATCATCATAAGAGAAACTTCCTCCTGCAGCAGAAAGAAATAGATGCAGAGACACACTGCTAAAGAAAACTCAAAGAGTCTGAGAGAGAGACAGACAGACAGACACACAGAAAAAAGAGACAGAGGCAGACAGAGAAAGAGAGAGTCCTTGGAATGGACAGCTTCAAATAGGTGTCTCCATCAAATCCCTCCCTTCAGAACTCCCAGAACCCAGAGAAAGAGGAGGCAGACAGAGTGTAAGAGACACAAGGGATGGAGGACACCAGGAAAATAGTCCTCTACATCAACTGAAAAACAGTTATATGAACTCAAAGAGACTAAACCAGGAAACAGAGGTCCTACACATGTCACCACCAGGGCTTCTCTCTCTGTCTTTCTCTCTCCATATATATATTTCTCCTCTCTCTCTCTCTCTCTCTCTCTCTATATATATATATAGATATATATATATATATATATATATATAAATATTAGCTTTCTGCATAATATTTTAACAGGAACTTTTCATGTATGAAGCAATATGCCTCTCATTCTTTTGCCTACTATTGGGCTCCTTTCCTTCTGTTGGGTTGTCTTGTCCACTATTGATGTGAAGGATTTTCATCTTATGCCATTTTATTTTGTCATGTTTAGCTGTTATCTCACAGAAGACTGCTTTTTTCTAACCAGAACAGACATGGGTTCATCTGGAGGGAACAGGAGTGGGGAGGAACTGGGAAGGGTGGAGAGGGGAAACTGTAGTTCAGGGTAGATTATAGAGAAAAGAATCTATTTCCAAGACAAGGGGGAAAAAAGACCTATAATATCTTTAAGAGTCAAAAAGTGTATGTTTCATGATAGCTTCAATAATCTTAACACAGACTATATTATGATGCTCATAATAAATCTTTTAGAATTATATGAGGCATATGTTTCAATGTAACTATTTAGTATTATTGCTTTTAAAGTTATCAATATGATATTCCATTGACAAAGGGAAAACATACAGTTCTTACCCAATGAAGAAATCAGCTAAGTTTTTTTCTTCTTTCCTTTCCTTTCCTTTTGTTACAGGATGGACCAGACTCGTCTTGCTTGCATTTATCACAGCATCAAATTTGGAAAGGGCATAAAAACAAAGATAGACTGTGGCTGATTGGAAAAAAATACCTGAATAAAAAAATTAATAACAGTGCAACTGTATCATTAACAAAAGTTAATGCAAAAGTTCTATTATCCTGAGTAAAAAGATACAGTCTACATCTAAAACTATTATTTTCCCAATTACAAGTATAATTAATATTAGAAACTTGTATCAAATTAAAAATTTAATACACTTACTGAATTTTTCATATTCATTAGCTAGCCTCCAAACTTTAACATATAACAAGTGAAGTGTTCTTTTGAAAACACATAAATGAATTATATTTTCCAAATTTAACTCTGTTTAGCAAGTAAAACTTGCTTAAACTTTTATAGAAATTTAGCATTAAAATATTACTCACTTTCTACACATAAGCCTAGACTTGTCGAAAATATAATTACTTTTATACTTTTTATGTTTGTCTCAATTTTTGGAAATTGTATACATAAAAGTAATTAAACTTCACAAGAGAATAACCCTCTTAATTAGAGTCAAAGTGTTGTAGCTGAACAATGCCATTTATTTAATAAAGCTCTTTCACAAGACAAGAAAAATTTATGAGTCTTTTCCATTTATGAAATGCTTCATCTGTCTTAAGGGATATCTTCTCAAAGATATAGTTACTTGTGAAATAAAGGTGATATTTCAATGAAAAGTATAAGTGATTATAATGTTCCTTTGGAAGGACAGTATTTGAGAAATTATGAAAACTACATCCAGTACTGTATACAGAAAAAGTGTCCTGCTAGTAAAAACTCATCACATATCAGCAGAAAAAAATCTAGACAATACATCAAAAATTTCTATGTTCAATAGCCAAAGAAATAAAAAGTTAACATCCAGAGTTTTAGAGGACATCATGGCAGTGGCATGGAGTCTGCCTTGAGTACATTTTCCAGAGCAGATGGGGTCGAGGGATGCAAAACTACACTTTCACCCCTGAAGAACCTGTGACAGAACTTCATAGTCTCACAAAGACTGAAATGGAAGGAACATGTAGAACAGAGTGCAGATAAATACCAAGATGCATGTTTAATGCTGAGAGGGCAGAATTCCCAACAACAGAACAGTAAGAAGATGAACAAAGGGAAACAGAATGGAGAGACTTGGTGAGTTTACAGGCTGGTCAGGAATGGTTAGGAAGAAGAAATTACAAGTGTATCCCCATATACACTTGCTACTGAGACCAGTGTGTCTAAACAGGAGAGCACCATTGTGCATCAGAACATTAACAAAAGGTCTTAGGAACAATTCAAAACTCTTTGGAGAGAAGTCTGCTCCTTTCCAGGGTAGGATTCTTCAGGGGTTCAGCTTCATAACTCTGAGTGGGCTTGCTGCTTAGGGGAACTTTCTGCCCCTGCTTCCAAATGAGTAGCACCAAGGAGTCATGGCTCAGACTTAAGAACTAATGATCACATGGAAACAAATCTAAGTGGTCCCTTTAGGGAACAGTGTAAGCCACGCCTGCTAGAAGCTTGCTACTACAATTACAGGAAACAATCACAAACAGAAGTAATCCTCTATACATTACACATATCAGATCCCATACGGGTCTGCCACACAGACTAGCACAAGGCAATGACAAGACTGATAATTTATTAATTGGAAGAGTGCTAGAAGCCTCAGAATTTCATAAGAAACATCATGTAAATAGCAAAGGTTTAAAAAAGGACTTCTCCATCACTTGAGAACAAGCCAAGGAGATAGTGAGAAACTGTCCTCCTTGTTCTTTTTATGACCATACTACACTGCCAGCAGGCTGTAATCTTAAAGGCATTCAGAGGAATGAGATCTGGCAGATGGTTGAAAAACACATTACAGAATTTGTAAATTGGAAATATGTGCATCATACTATAGACACATTATCAGGGTTCCAATGCACTACTGCTCTCAACTCTGAAAAAGTTGTTTCTGTTATTACACACTTGCTAATGGTGATGTCAGTTATACATGTACAGATTAAAACTAACAATGCTCCGGCATATGTCTCCACAAAAATGGAACAGTTTTTCAAATATTATAACATAAAGCATGTCACTGGTACACCACACAATCTTACAGGACAAGCAGTGGTTGAGAGATCTAATCGAACACTTAAGGAGATGCTCTATAGTGGGAAATTACCAATACGGAGTCAGGTAGAAATATAAGGGTATTTAAGAGGGAAAAGCTTTACTTACAGAGCGCCCTAGCCAGCCCAGCCGGCGTGGCAGCAGTCTGTCCAGCAAGTACCAAAGTGAAACCGAAAGAGAAAATGCAGTATCGCTCTACGTCACCCTGACCACACCCTCGCAAGCATGGTTAGGCACACTTATAGCCAGCCCCTAAGTAGGCGTGGCTACAGCTTCCCCTACAATGTTCCATAGACAGGCTGGGAAGACAAAACCCCCCAAACATAGGTTGCATAATGCTTTAACACTAAACTTTCTTATTGCCAATGAAAAAGGACAAACAGCTGCAGAAAGACACTGGACTATGGAAAAAACTGCTGAACTGAATCAACCAGTATACCTCAAATATGTACTAACCTCAATATGGAAGCCTGGACATGTGTTACATTGGGGTAGTGGTTTTGCATTTGTTTCCGCAGGAGAAGAAAAACTTTGGATACCATAAAAGTTGATCAAGATTTGAGTTGAAAAGGAAAAACCTCTCGACAAGGAGAAATGACAGGGCGCCAGCAGAAGGCATCCTGTATAAGATAAGTCTTATAAAATATATGGATTTATGATAATTAAGACTGAGCTAACAGATGAGAAATGCTAGTCTTTGGCCAAGCAGCAATTGTACCTAATAAACGTCTCTGTATATTATTTGGGGCCCTAACTCGGTGGGCAGAACTCGGGTGGCTGGCGGAAAGTGCCCATGTGGCAGTAGGGCCCAGTTGGCTTTTGGTGGAAAGATTTATCATAACAGGTCCTAGTTGTCCAGGGGAAGAAAATGCAAGTGTTTTTGGGATCCTTTTTGACTTTATGTGGGCTTACAGTTAAGGGAGAACTGCCTTGAGTCCCTGAAGAGACTTTGGTCATACAAGCAGTGTTGGGACTGTTGAAGTGTATGAGGACTTTTAAAGGTAAACTGAATGCATTATGATGCAGCCATGAGTTTATGAGAGCCATGGAGTAGACTGTAGTAGCTTGAATGAGAAGGCTCCCATAGGATCAGGGATTTGAACACTTGGTTATCACTGCTTGGGGAGGTGGAACAGTCTCAATGGAAGAATTATATCACTGGGGATTGGGCAGTGACACCACATCCTAACAACTGTCTCAGCTTTGTGTTTATCCAACAGGCAATATCACTGTAGCCAAGGCAATGACAGTTGGAAATATATTTGGAAGAAACTAAGTAATTTTGTAAGATTCCCAGTAACTGAAAAATAACAAAATATATATCTAGTATTACTATAAAAAGAGAAATTGTAAAGATTGATCTTCAGAGTCTTTTTGATGTCATTTACAACTATAATAATTTTTATTCTATGTTATATAATATTTAATACTATAAAACTGAAATTTCATAAAGGTAATCAATTTGGATGTATAAATTACACTAATTATCACCCTTTCCTGGACAACACAGAACTCTAGAGTATTTTACACAAAATTACAAGTGTTTACATAAATTCTGTAGTACTAGTTTATAAAATACATCCTACACAATTGTACAGCCCTTCTTTAGCAAAAATATTTATCCATGGTTAAATATTACCTATTTATAAATAATTGCAAATTCTAAACAATATTTTATTTATTTAAATTATATAATATGGATCACTTACATTGTGACATCATTATGTAGAACATTCTTTCCTTATTGTAGATCCAACAACGGTCTTTAAATCCACATTTATTAATGCTCCAGTAAATGCAAGCCTGAGATGTTAACATGTCTAAAACCAGTGGTGTAGGGATGGATCCTATGAAACCATCAATGATTTTAGGTTCTTTAGAGAAACACTTTTGCCTAGAATTAGAATAATTTCTTCTTAAACACACACACACACACACACACACACACACACACACACACACACACAGTGCCCATGCCCCATAGGATCCTCTAAACACATTATTTTAAATTCTGTAATTGTCTTTTATGGATTGGCTTATTACCTCTGACAATCAATATCCTGAACCTTGCCTGCTTACAAATGCCAGTAGTTTGAGATGATTTTACAATTCTCTCTATGTTTTTGTTTATAGGGCATCTTAAAGCACTTGTTGAAGTTTCATGGAATATTTAGGATGACAACTTTAGAGCAAAAATCATTAAACCACATAAATTTGTGAATTTTGGTATCTTTAAAGATGCACAACTATGAGATTTTAATGAATGAAAATGACTTAATGTTTTCTGATGGCATTCTGATGTGTATTCTTCAATTATTCCTAGAGAATAGATTCCAAAATTGTCCAGTGGATGTGTGATACTGTTCATGGCACCAAACCATACACAGATACACAAACATGCACACAAACACATCACTTTCTGGTACAATGTGATGCTGTCAAATTAAAACACATTACCTGTTTGTGTCCTTTACTTTCATTTATCTTACAAACTGCTGAGATTTCAAAAGCTTCTATAATTCATAGCTTTGTATCCACCCCCTTTTTCTCTTCCCTTCCCTCTCATCAACATCTGCTTTAAAGTTTCATTTCCCACCCCCCATTCTTTCATCTCACATGAGTTTTATTATCCCGTCTTATCATACTTTTACTCAGATTGCCCATGTAACTTCTTCATGAAGACTTCCTTTTGTCTAAGGCTTCCCCTGGCTCTTCTTTCCATTGTTCCATCACTTCACACCCTGTCTTAACTCTTCCATTCCCTATATTCTTACTTTCTATTTTCATCTCACCTATATTTTGGTGTCTTTCTTCTCAAATGCATCCCATTAAGCGGTGGGACATTTCTAGTTTCCACAAGTACTTTAGGTTAACATGAAAATTATGGGAAGCTAGGATCCACATATTAGTGGGAACATTCAGAATTACATCTTAGGTCCTGAGTGATTAACTCAGTATAATTTCCTTCAGTTACATCCATTTTTCTGAAAGTTTCTCATTGTCACATTTTCTCTTTGGACAGATTGATATATCATTGTCCATTCATTAGCTGACTCCATTTCTAGTTGATAAGGTTATGAAATCATTGAGCATAAGTGTGCAAGTATCTTTGTAACAAGAAGTTCCTTTGGTTATATGCCAGGAGTTGGTGTATCATGGTCATGTGATAAGATTTATTTCAGAGTTTCAACAGAGTTTTCTTCATAGTACTGCTCCATGTATTATTAAATGAAAATCTCAATGTCAAACACAATTTTCTTCTCCTTTGGTTATTGGCTAGAGAGGGCTAAGAGGTACCTGAAACAATAGTCTACTGCCAGTGATCATAGCCCTACCATAACTTGATTATAAGACTCTGTTACTGAAGAAACCACATGCTTTGGTTACAGGACTCAGAGAAAACAACACTGAACTCCCAGATGGTTAGCATTCATAGTATTATAAGGCACTATGCAACCTGATGGAGGAGAGAAAACAGATCATACTTAGTATGAGACCCTGCTCCAGTACCAACCTACCAATCTGGTAGTGCCTAGTACAAAGTAACATGACATTTTGTAGGGTCAACCAACCACTCTCTTGATTGAATCTGAGTCTTCTTTGAAAGAGGGAATTCATGACTAGTGTTATAAATGTGGTCAAATACCATGACTGGGGGAAATATTTTTAAAAACTCATTACATTTCAGGACATTGAAAGCAAAAAGAAGTATGAAATTACTCTGATGTTTTGTATCATCTTTCAGAGTTACTTATATGAGATGATAAAAATACTACAGGCCCAAATGCATGGCTCCAGCAGATGAAATTTAATTGATGCATGCCTTTGTTTAACAGGATGGCTTTTATTAATTTCTCTTTGCATTTAACTGATATCTAAATTTTCAAAGCAATCTGCTTCTAATATATATATATATATATATATATATATATATGTCAACTTGGTACATTGAAAATACATACCAGTAATTCTCCAAATTGTATAGCTTATACCCAGGCTCAGTGACTTTAAATTGTCAGGTGCACTTCTGAAAGCAAATAGCAATGATATTACTTATGGTGGCACATATTTTTTAATATATTTTATACATAATTTATTCTACAAATCTTCAGCTAGTTGACAAAAGTTCAATTTGACATATAGACATAGTGTAGATATTTCCATTTCCCATTTTTCATTCTCAATAGATCAGATGCACTTGAGCCTCTCCTTCTTGAAACAGCTGAGTTCCCTGATTCTCAATTTAACTTTGCTCAGGCTGTGAGGCACAGGATTGTTTAGACTCTGTTTCACATTTGTGAAGTCCACTCCACATTTTCCTAGTTTGCTATTTGCTATGGATTCTGCACTCCACACATTATGCCAGTAATGGTACCTTGTTTGAAGAAGAAAGGTGAAGTCAAGTCTTTGTCTTCAGGCTTCTTCCTCTTGGTTACTCAGGGTGAGTGGGTGCCACAGACAGGTGTCTTTACAGGTGTTTCAATCACACTCTCACTCCTTTGAGTGTGAGGTGGCTGAAACCACACCTTGCAATGGCATACCTTGCATCCAACCTACATTTACTGGCAACTTTAGTCAACCTTAATTAAACAGTACTAATTTCTGAGCGTTTTGTATTTTCTGTGCTACCCTCATATTCATTACTCAAAATTGTAATAAATGGCATCATTTTAAATAGGAGGTGCTCACCCACAATAATGTGAACAACTCTAATGAATCTAGCAAGGCACACACAGAAAGACATGTCTAAGGCCTGGCCTATTAGGGAAGAAGAACAGACTAAATGGTATAAAAAGCTAAAATTCATTATATTTTATATTTATATTTTATATTTATATTCATTATATTTTAGTATGAAAGAGTTGAATAATAAACAGGAAGATCTATGTATTTCTCATTGATTAGATAAAATGTTGAAGAAGAAAATGATGTACAGCTTTGTTATAAACCGTTTTCTTGTAAAGAACCTTAGCTATTTTTCCTTATATTAAATATTTAAACCCCTTACACAATGTACTATTTATAGAATTTGGCATTAACATTCAAGACTGGTATTTTCATAACTAATAGCTTTATATTTCAGATATTTTTAAATACTATTTTTCATTTATTTTACATACTGAGGACAGTTTCACCTCCTTTCTCTCTGCCCATTCCTTCCTCTCTAACTCCCATCTATCAAACCCCATCTACTTCTCTTTGTTCAGAAAGGAGCAGGCCTCTTATGGGAGTCAAGAAAGCATGGTTCACCAAGTTGAGGCAGGACCAAGCTCCTCCCCTACATCAAGGCTGGATGAGGCAGCCCAGCATGGGGAACAGGAGAAAGATGGCAAAGTATGTACAGTCATTGGTTTAGAAAATATAATTTTAAAATAATAAAGAAAATTCCTTAAAAGGGACAAATATATATATATATATTATGTGTTGTCTTTGAGTTGTTTGACTGCTGAGGAAAGAACAATAGCTGCTAAGATATATTTGATTATAAACACTTCTGGATTAAATCAACCTATATATTTTAAAAAGTGTCTTTATTTCAAAATGGAAGTCAAAAGATATGTTACTTTGGAAAAGTGTTTCTGCTTTTATTTTCACAGAAAATTTGAATTTCTTCAAAGTTAAGGATGATCAAGTTTGTTTGAGAAATAAGGAACTATAAGACATATTATTCATATTTTGCCTGCTCAAACATAAACCAAAAAATCTTTAACTGATTTGCACACACCACATATTCCACATTTTTAATATGTGTTACCTGGAAACGTTTATACATTTTCCAAACAAGGGGACCAGACAAAAAAGAAAAAGGATGGGCCAGATGATTAAGCATCCAGAAAATTTTCAAGGCTGCTGGGTGAGATGGGCCAGCCTCACAAACTGTCCCATTCAAGACCTAACAATTATTCTGATTTTCATCAAGGTTCTCCCAAAGACAATAGCGCCCACAAACAACAGGAAGTAGTCTACACGAAAACACCCACATTCCCCAAAATATTATCTATGGATGATTGTTATTGTTTAAAAGGGATTGGTTACAAGTTGTTATTGGTCATAGTCATAAAGAGTGAAAGCTAGACAATTGAGAGACCTCTTTCTAAAGGATGAAAGAGGTATATGATGTAGAAATGATGGGGAAAACTGGTAGAATATTAAGTCTACTTTAATCCAAAATAACTGTTAATCTCAAATTACTTTACATTGGTATGGTTCATTGATACAAATTTAAAATTTGTATTATATGTTGCTACTCTTGTTTAGGGTATTGTGCTCATTTAGATCATTTCGAATGGAACATATAATTAGGAAATACAGAATAATAGTTATTCTTCTATGATAGTCAAACTTAAAGTCATGTTAGGTCTGTCTTCATGGTCATACACAGATATATTTAGTTAGATATATTGTATTCAAAACCTTCAAAGAACTACAGAATATGGCATTTAATATATTTAGTATCATAAAGATTTATGACAGTGAGGCAGGTCTGCTCCTGGCACCACCAATTACTACAAAGACGATTATGGGCATCAAGAAAACTCCATATGGAGTTTGTTTTCTCTATGACAAAACCCTGCCATGTTGGCAAAGAAACTACCCTTGCCTCAATTGCTGACATTTACTGTCCAAACTGGAACATCAAGAAGCAAAAGAAAATCACTTCCAAACTTTGACAAGACAAGGTAAGACAGCCTTCAAAATTTCCTGATTCTTAGAAAAGCCAGTCAGATATACTACACCTGTGGGCCAAGGATGGTTGCCCAATATTGCAGAAGCTTGGGTGACTATCCAGACACTGAAATGTCCCTGTCATTAGTTAGGTGAACCCTTCTAGGATCTTAGACAGAGTGGAAGATTTAGTAAAAGCTTTCCTTAGTTAGGATAGAACGTGATTTAGGTGCACAACTTTAGATTCACAAAGATTGGGTAGATAATTGAGTATTTTCTCTAACTTTGTCAAATATAAATGGACTGTACATTATAACTGTAATTCTTTTTTATATTTTCTCCATTTTTTCTTTAAATTAGAAACAAGATTGTTTTACACGTCAATCCCAGTTCCCCCTCCCTCCCCTCCTTCCCTGCCCCCCACTAAGACCCTACATATCCCATACCATTTCTACTTCCCAGAAGAGTGAGGCCTTCCATGGGAGGGGGTCTTCATAGTCTCTCATATCCTTTGGGATAGGGCCTAGGTCCTGCCCAGCGTGTCTTAGCTGAGGGAGTATCCCTCTATGTGAAATGGGCTCCCAAAATCCATTCCTATGCTAGGCCTGTACAAGAGGCCCCATAGATTCCCGAGGCCTCCTCACTGACACATATTCATGGGGTCTGGATCTGTTCCAGGCTGGTTTCCCAGTAATTGGTCTAGGGGCCAAGTGCTCCCCCTTGTTCAGGTCAGCTGTTTCTGTGGGTTTCACCAGCATGATCTTGACCCATTTGCTCATCACTCTTCCTTCTCTGCAACTGGATTCCAGTTCAGTTCAGTTCAGTGTTTAACTATGGGTATGTGCTTTTACTTCCATAGCTGCTGGATGAACTTTAAGAACTGTTTTTGTTGTATATATTCTAATTATGTTAAAGTTAAGAACATCTTTAATTAGAAAAAAAGTGAGAAATGCTGTAGGATAATCCTTCTTTACAATGTGACTATATATTATTCCATGTGTTTTTTAAACCAACTCAGTTTTATTGATCTTTTGCATTGTTCTTTTTGCCACATTTTCATTAATTACAGCTCAGAACACATTTCTTGTTTTCTTTCTTTGCTATATTTGTCTCTTTCCTTCCATCTCCCATCTTTCCTTTTCTCTTTCTCTTTTCACTCTCTTTCTCTCCTTGGTGGTTGATTTTGTTTGTTTTGGACTCTCTTAAAATTCCCGTTAAAGCCAACCTTGAACTCTCAATCTGTCTATAACTGTCTTGTCTATGCTGGGATTAGAGGCATATAACAACACTCCTATTTATATGTTGCTGGAGATCAAGCCCATTGCCCTGACCAGGATGGTCTACACATTTCTGTCTCTACTTATACTCCACAGCTAATTAAGCTGATGCCAGAAATGTGCAATTTTTTATTTTGTTGGTGATATTTTATAGGATAGTTAGGATGAATATACTTGTTAACTTGAAAATATGAGCTTAAAATAATGCCTTTTCATTCTGTTCCTAGAATAAAAATGAATACTCAGTGAACTTAAGTATTCTGGAAGAATACATGGGTGACAATTGTTTGCTCATAGCTCAGTTTTTAACATAGAAGTACAGTTAAATACCCATGTCAATAAACAAGCTTTACACTCATCTCTATGGTGAAATTAAAATTTTTCCTGTTTATGGAAAACCCAAGTTTTCTATTAAGTTTATTTTGTTACTGGTGAATTGATACCAACATTTTCTATAATATTTAAAAGTAATATGTTAAACAAACTAAAAAATAAAATCCACATGATCATCTCCCTAGATGCTGAAAAAGCCTTTGACAAAAACCAATATTCCTTCATCATAAAGGTCTTGGAGAGATCAGGAATAACAGGAACATACCTAAACATGATAAAAGCAATATACAGCAAACAAGCAGCCACCATGCAGATAAATGAGGAGAAACTTGAGGCTATTCCCCTAAAATCAGGAAAAAGAGAAGGCTGTCTACTCCACATCTCTTCAATATTGTACTTGAAGTCCTAGCTAGAGTGATAAGACAACAAAAGGAGATCAATGGGCTGCAAATTGGAAATGAAGAAGTCAAACTTTCACTATTTGCAGATGATATAATAGTTTACATAAGTGACCCAAAAAACTCTACCAGGGAACTACTATGTAGACCTGATAAACACCTTCAGCAAAGTGGCAGAATACAATATTAACTCAGAAAAAATCAGTAGCCCTACTATATAGAGAAGATAAATGTGCTGAGACAGAAATCAGAGAAACATCACCCTTTACAATAACAACTAACAACATAACTTGCAGTAACACTAACCAAAAATGAGAAAGACCTGTATAGTAAGAACATTGAGTCTTTGAAGAAAGAAATTAAAGAAGATACCAGAAAATAGAAAGATGTCCCATGCTCTTGGATAGGTAGGATCAACATAGTAAAAATGGCAATCTTGCCAAAAGCAATCTACAGATTCAATGCAATCCCCATCAAAATCCCAACACGATTCTGCAAAGACCTTGTAAGAACAATTCTCAACTTCATATGGAAAAACAAAAAACCCAGAATAGTCAAAACCACCCTGTACAATAGAGATATTTCCAGAGGCATCACCATCCCTGACGTCAAGTTCCATTATAGAGTCATAGTCCTGAAAACAGCGTAGTATTGGCACAAAAATAGACAGATAGACAAATGGAATCAATTGCAAACCTTGATACTAACCCACACACCTATAAACACCTGATTTTTGACAAAGAAGCTAAATTTATACAATGGAAATAAGATAGCATCTTCAACAAATGGTGCTGGTATAACTGGATTCGGACGTGTAGAAGACTGCAGATTGATTCATATCTATATCCATGCACTAAACTTAAATCCAAATGGATCAAAGTCCTCAACATAAATTCAGCCACACTGAACCTCCTAGAAGAGAAGGTAGGTGAATAAATTGCTACAGGAGACAGCTTTCTGAACATAACACCAGTAGCTCAAACATTGAGATCGATAATGAATAAATGGGACCTCCTGAAACTGAGAAGCTTCTGTAAAGCCAAGGACACAGTCAGCAAGACAAAACACCAGCCCACAGAATGGGAAAGATATTAACCAACCCCACATCTGACAGAGGGCTGATCTCCAAAATATACAATAAACTCAAAAACTAACCACCAAAACACCAAACAAGGCAATTAAAAGATGGAATGCAGAACTTAATAGAGAATTCTCAACAGAGGAATCTGAAATGGCTGAAAGACACTTGAGAAAGTGCTCAACATCCTTAGCCATCAGGGAAATGCAACTCAAAAGCATGCTGAGATACTATCTTACTCCTGTCAGAATGGCTAAAATAAATACCCAAATGACAATTTTTGCTGGAGAGGATGTAGAGAGAGAGGAACTCTCCTCCATTGCTGGTGGGAGTGCAAACTTGTACAGCCACTTTGGAAAGCAGTATGGTGGTTTCTCAGGGAAATGGAAATCAGTCTACCTCAAGATCCAGCAATCCCTCTATTGGGCATATACCCAAAGAATACACACTCATACAATAAGGACACCTATACAAGTATGTTCATAGCAGTGTTGTATGCAATAGCCAGAACCTGGAAGCAACCTATATGTCCCTCAACTGGAGAATGGATAGGGAAAATGTAGTATATTTACACAATGGAGTACTACTTAGTGGAAAAATCAATGGAATCTTGAAATTTGCAGGAAAATGGATGGAACTAGAAGAAACCATCCTCAGTGAGGTAACACAATCACAAAAGATAAACATGGAATGTACTCACTCATTTTTGATTTTTAGACATAGAGCAAAGGATTACTAGTCTACAATCCATACTGCCAGAGGAGCTAGGAAACAAGGAGGAATCCAAGAGAAGATTCCATATTCCCTCAAAGTAGGGGATGGGGACAAGAACCCCTGACCAAAGTGGAGCCTGGGAGCAGGGAGAGGAAGGAAAGTCTTCATCCAGTTCCTGTTCAAAGCAGAAACAGACACCCATAGCTAAGCAATGAACCATACTACTGAAATACAGCTGTGGAGAGGGAGGAGGGTTGAGCAAAGGAGCTAAGACAGGGCTGGAGAGACCTGCAGAAACAGTGGACCTGACCTACTTATAGAATGAAGATTCTAGTCATAAAGCTGGGGAAACAGCATTGGGCCAAACCAAACCCTCTGAATGTGGGTGCCAGCTAGGAGCCCAAGACAGTCTATGGCTCCTCTGACAGTGGAGATAGTCTTTATCCCTAGAGTACAAATGGACTTTGGGGGCCCATTCCCTATGGAGAGATACTGTTGCAGCCCAGATACAGCAAGGAGGGTCTAGACCCTCCCCCAAACAATATGACAGACTTTGTAGGTCCTTGGTAGAGGGCCTCACTATCTGGACAGGATTCAGGGGATGTGTTGGGGTGGGCTGGGTGGAGAACATGGTAGGAGAAGGTGAGGAAATGGGGAGATGGATATGTAAATATGAGAAATTAAAAATAATTTAAAAATTTTAAAAAACAAAAAGAAAGTAAGATGTAAAATACCAAAACTATGTACACTTATTTTTAAATTAAATTTATAACTATTTTCAATGTTAAAATGCATGTATAGCTATAATATTTTCTTTTACTTGTATATATATATATATATATATATATATGTATATATACATATATATATATTATGCAAATAATAAACAAGTAAAAGAAAATATTATAGCTATACATGCATTTTAACATTGAAAATAGCTTATCTTTATATGTACAGCTGTAAAACACAGGAAGTCATTTCTTGTAATAATCTGAACTAATTCTAAATGTTTTGTATGAGGTAAATAAATAACAATTATGAAAATTATATACTTACTGGAGGATAGTCATGGTGACAGCTATACTAGGCAAATTGGAAAAAACCATTGAAGAAAAAGAAAAGGCAAAAAACAAAGGTAATTTGTGACACTTGTTACTGCATTTTCCAGGAATGGCATCAATAAAATCACCTTCAGTATCTGAAGTTGTCAATCCTTCTTTAATGCAAGAACAATTGTAGTATGTCTATGAATATTGAACATAAAAATACAGTGTTTCAGAAACAGGAGACAATAGCTTAATATGAAAATAAAAGTCAATATCCAAATGGAGACTGCACATTTGTGTTAATAGTTTTTAAGTTAGTGATATTAAAATATGATCATGACATTTTCTCCTTCACTTCCCCCTCAAAAAACTTTCATTTGTCCCCCTTTAAAATTCATTACTTTTTTCTTGAAGTAATTTGCTCAGTCTGTATAATATTCTTTGTCTGCAAGGTTTTGAGGTTGATCATTTTATATTGGATTAGGAGATAGTGGGCTTATCCCTGGAGAACATGATTCCCCTATTCTGAGCACTGAATAGACAGGGTCTCACTATGTAGCCTTGGCTGGCCTGCAACTCACAGAGGTCTGGTTGCCTGTGCTTCCAGATTACTGGGATTAAAGTTGTTTTAATTGCAATCACATCCATCTTAGACTACCTAGTTTTAATAAATATACTAATGTTAGACCTGCCATATGTCAGTTAGAAATGAAGTATTAGTTGTAAAATCTGAAATATTTTACATGTTCATCATATACTATGTATATGTGGTGACATATTGTTTAGGTTCTGTATTGTTTATGATCTAATAAAGCTTTCATAAAAGATCAGAATGCAAAGCTAGTCAGAGCCATAAAAGCTGGGCAGTGGTGGCACACACCTTTAATCCCAGGATTCAGAGGACAGAAGCCCTAGGCCAACTTGGGCTACATTCAAGTGAATCAGTCTAAAAATGTAACATAGCCCATGCCTTTAATCCAAGCACTAGAGAGTTTTCTAAAGAAGCAAAGGGTCTCATGTGAGATGCAGCTTCTGGTCCCAGGGAAGACAGGATCTCCACTTCAGCCATGGAAGAGGTAAGAGCTACTGGCTGGCTGCTTTGCTTCTCTGATCTTCAGCTTAAACTACAACACTTTTCTCTGGGTTTGTATTGTTCTTGCTACAATGTGTAGGTGTTTGTGGGTGTATAATTGCTTTAATTGAGGAAGAGTTATACCAATTTAAGAAATAATAGTTGTCTTATGTTAGTATTATCATATTATAGGATTATAAATTAAGAGCAAATAAAGGTATGTGATGAATAAAATTAAACTTTATCCATGATTTGAAATATGGGCAATAACCCAACTATAAAAGATTGTATAACCATGTTAATACTTTGTTTTGTGTATAATCATGGCAGAGTTGTGTTTTATTAAGCATAGTAGTCATTTTTTTCTGAGATCAACTGTTTTCAAGAATACACAGAACAGCAATTGTAATCCCAGTCCTGGGAGGAGAGAGAGAGAGAGAGAGAGAGAGAGAGAGAGAGAGAGAGAGAGACTCATGCTAGAAATACTTACACAGTGTTTGGAGTTTGTCTTAGTTAGGGTTTTATTACTGTGGAAAACCTGATGATCATTAGTCCATTAGAATCATAGAGAGTTGTGCCAGCATGCAGAAGGACATGGTGCTAGAGAAGAAGCTAAGAGTCCTACATCTTGACCCTTGGGCAGTGGAAGTAAACTGGGTACCACCCTGCAGTAGCTTGAGTATATGGGACCTCAAAGCCTGCTGCCCCACAGTGATACACTTTCTCCAACAAACTCATCTCACTCTAACAAGGCCACACATCCTAATACTGTAACTCCCTATGAACCTTAGGGACCAATTACATTCAAACCACCTAATATGAAGACATAATATAAGAATTTATTAGGCCACTTAAAATGCCCAGAGTTGCAAAACAATAATTTTAACAGAAAAAACAACAAATAAATACAATGCTAATAAGATTAAAGATGTCCTGGACCTGAGTGATTAAGAGTACAAAATCATATCAGTAGACACATTAAAAAACATAAATACACAAATACCCAAGCTAAAATTCTCATTCTGCCAAAGTTTTTTAAATGTCTGTGTGTTAAAAAACAGTTTAATTTAAGGAATATATTGTAAACAATGTAACAGAAATCTGTTTGCCATTTACAGAAAATTCTACTTGGAAGGCAAGCAATCATACAACACAAAGGAAAAGGTTTTATATAATACCTGTGTGGTTACTATGAAGTAAAATAACTAGGCAATACTGCAGGCAGTATTTGTAGAAATACTCTTCTACTTAGCAGAATCAGAGGATGCAGAAATGATGGAGAAATATGTGAGAAGAAATTTAAAGAACATATGGAAGAAAGTTACATGGTGATCTAGACATATGTTACAGATAAGAGAAGAATAGCAGTCAATTATGAAGCAGTGTTCCAGAAGATGATTATAAAGTTCAGTGACTAAGCACAGCAAGGAATAGGGCAGAAACGATGTGAAAGAATCAGGAAACAAAAGACCAGGATGCAGTCAGTGCCCAAGAGGCAAAGGAAGGTGGTTCTCTGTGATTTTGGAACTAGCTTGGTCTACAGAGCAAGCTTCAGGACAGCCATGGCTACATAGAGAAACCCTGTCTTGAAAAAACAAAACCAACAATAAAACCATTATGGGATGAGAGATTAAGTTGTTCAGAAATTGATAATTATAAACGTAGTTTTAGGAACTTCAGAATTTATTATTAGAAGCACTTTGGTTGCTGAGATTACTGAACTACCAAGGCAAGGATAAAAGCTGATATGTAATATAAAATAATCAAATATCATACAACAAAATCCAGTGATTATGGAATTCATTACTTAAGAGAAAATAATGAAAATAATCCTATAGTCCATTGTGTAAAAAGTAGATATGAAAGACTTTCCTGGAACCTCTGTATAATTAATGGAACCAAACAATAAAATCACAGAGAAAGTTTTACTAGGAGAAATGAAGGTCTTCAGCCAAGAAAAGCAACAGAATAAAACAAGAAAATAGCATGTGGATTTCACTCCTCTTTTTCTATCTTTCTGATATGCTCAAAGTACCCCTGTATAGGTCTCTAATATCATAGCATACATGTAAATAAGTATGCTGAACAGATCTGAAGGACCAAGATGCACTATAGTAATTGTCTACAAAGCACCAAAACTAAGTTGAGACTGAAATCATAAAGTTTTCACGTGGTGAGGTTCAAGAAATTATACTCCATAATGATTAAGAAATTTGAAGGACTTCTACAGACCCAATGGACTTGGGTGTCAGTGAGGAGGCCCCCGAAATCTATGTGGCCTCTGGTAGTAGATCAGTACTTATCCCTAGCATAGGAATGGACTTTGGGTGCACATTTCACATAGAGGGAAACTCTCTCAGCCTACATACATGGGGGAGGGCCTAGGCCCTATTCCAAAGGATAAGACAGACTCTGAAGATGCCCCCCATGGAAGGCATCCCCCCCTGGTGATCAGAAAGGGTATGGGATAAGTAGGGTGTTATTGGGGGGCAGGGGAGGAAGGGAGGGGTTGGGAACTGGGATTGACATGTAAAACAGTCTTGTTTCTAATACAAATAAAAAATGGAAGCCAGGCGTTGGTGGCACATGCCCTTAATCCCAGCACTCGGAAGGCAGAGGTAGGCAGATCTATAGTGAGAAATTACTAATATGGAGTCAGGTAGAAATATAAGGGTATTTAATAGGGAAAAGCCTTACTTACAGAGTGACCTAGCCAGCAAGCGTGGCAGCAGTCTGTACGCAAGCCCAAAAGAGAGACCGAAAGTGAAAACGCTGTCACCCTACATCACAAGCTTGTGAGGGCGTGGTCAGGCACACCTGTAGCCAGCCCCTAAGTAGGCATGGCTACAGCTTCCCCTACAATTCCCCTTTAAGTCTAAAAGAGGATTAAAACTTAACAGTTTAAAGTATCCAAAATTAACAATCATAAAGGTAAAATATAAGAAGATACAACAATCTGCTTATGTCACATCCTATCTATTTTAACTAAACCCTAAAGTCATCTGAAAGAGGTGTCCAAGCCTGAACACCTCCTTCCAATCCCAACCATAAACAATAAGAAGCTATCCCTAACTAGGTATACACTATCCTAAGTAACAACAATGGGGAAAGGGGGCATAGCATCCTCCGAGTTACTTCCTGCTGACATGGGATGATGGTAGCCTTGTGGGGTCCTGTGGGAAGAAAATGTTAGTAGTGTGTGTGTAGTGATGGGTTTAGGTTGGGATCTTTAAGATGATCCTGATGATAAGGGTTTCACATTCTACACATGCATAGAATACATAAAATTTATAGTTCTCTTTAAGCAAAACAATTTCCTTCATGTTTTTAAAAAGAGACTTTGAAATAATTTTCTACTTGATACAGAAGCTGAAGAAGACATGACATGACAGTCTCATATGTACATCAAATACTAATTATATAATGTCAGTGACAAAGTCACAGATAGCATGTGCTTCTCTGTGCTGTAGAAGAGGTTTTCACATTGTTGTATTGTGATGCTTTAAGATAATGTCAGGCAGCTTCTCTATGTTCCTTTCATGATTACTATCTCATGAGGACAATTTAATATCCTGTTTCTTTGCCTATTAATTTTAGCCAATGCTATGGATCTTGTTTGTACCAGGCATTTGTTTATTCATTACTTATACAGATGTAACTATTATTACTCAAAAGTCTTGGCCTCAGAAATGGCCTCTTAGAGAGGCAAATGTACAACTTTTAGGAATTGGAACTCTATCTAGAATTCCACAGAGTGTTAACTTGGTGGTTTGCATTGGACAGGAAGGACAGAAAGGGACACTGAAACCATACGTGGCAGATATAGCTATAAATCTCTAGGGTCGTGATCTCTTACAGCAATGGAATACTCAGATTAATATTCCTCCAGTGTCAGATACAAATTATGTACAATCTTTAGATAGTAGAAAAGATCTGGTAAGATGCTATGGAAACCGGTTACCAACCATCCATGCTGTACAGAAATTAGGTACAAATGATGGAACTTCAGAGTAGCCAAAGGCCCTGCCATTGAAGTGGCTTACAGATGAACCAGTTTGGGAAGGACAATGGCCTATGACTTCTGAGAAGCTAGAGGCTTTAGAAAAGTTAGTCGTTGGAATTTTCCTGTATTCGTCATCAAAAAGAAGTCAGGTGAGTGGAGAATGCTGACAGACCTGAGAGCCATAAATAAGGTAATTCAACCAATGGGCTCTCTGCAACCTGGAATGCCATTACCTTCCTTAATACCTAAAGGATGGCCTATTATAGTCATTGATCTAAAGGACTGTTTTTTCACAATACTGTTACAGGAAAATGATAGAGAAAAATTTGCATTTACTGTACCAACTCTTAATAATTCACAACCAGTTAGGAGATATCAGTGGAGAGTTTTGCCACAAGGAATGCTAAATAGTCATACTTTGTGTCAACACT